CTCTTTTTCCTTTCAAAAAAAAAATGAAAATTTTGCTGTTAATTAATTAATCACATATTCCTGCCAATTCAATTAATTTAAATAATTTTTATCTTAAACTCAATTTTTTATTTTAACTTAAACAATTTTTATCAAATTTGATAAATATATTGAAAATTTACAAAATATGAGATAATTAGAAAAACAGTTAAATAATGTCGTAACTGTTTGTACCAACTATTGTCTTTCATCAAACTCGTTTTTCCACTTCCTTTTTTTGCCTGAGGTCGTCATGATTCCATTTTTATGTATTCATGTAAATCTTTTTTAAAATTAGAATTATAAATGAGTAGAAAACGTGTTATGTATATATATGTGTGTATGTGTGTGTGTCATGTAAAAGTAGGAAGATGGGATGGAAATGAGAGGTCGAAAAGTTGTTTGTACCACTCGGTAATCGGAATCGAGAAATAATCATCACCCTGTCCTCAAAATATTCAATCTTTCATTCACCCTATCATTCCTTCTTTTCTTTCTTTCTCTCGCTTTTCTTCTCCCCCTCTCTCTCTCCCTCTTTTCCCTCCCTCGTTGTTCTTATTTACTAGCCTTTAAAATCTAAACTTCGTTCACTGACCTTTTCAAATTTGATGACAACGAACAAACCCGATCATCTTTCTTAACTCCCTTCAAAGAGGTTATTGAATAGAAGAAACAAACGGATCAACGAACTTCGTTCCAAAGGGCGGAATGGAAAGAAGAGTGGAAAGCAGGAAAATGGGAAAAATGAAAACCGATTTTCCGTTCTTTCCATTTGCTCCAGTTCTCGAATATTTCTATTGGTATCTTACCAGAATAGTGAAGAGAGATGAAAGGTTCTTCGCTTCATCTTAAAAGGAACAGATAACAGCCAACTAGGCCAATGACCTTTGCAATAGTCTCGGAAAATTGCGTAATTTCATCCAATTCACCATCGCAAATTATCTTTCTCTCCCATTCTCTCTCTCTCTTTCCCTCTCCCTCTTCTTCTAGATGTCGTTTAGAGATGGACGATTTTATACGAAATGGAACAATATCTATCAATAAATAAATATGTATCTAAATATGTATCAATATATATATATAAAATGTGTGCAAATATATAAGGGCTGAATCGAGTATTATGAAATGAAATTTGAAGTAAGCTTAGTAAAACTTAAAAAAATAAACTAAAATAGCTGATTATTTATAATTTTCACTTTTCTTCAATTTCCAGTATATTATTCAGTATGATATTGCTGAATTATAAAAATGAGTGAAAACATTGATCATTCAGAAATATATTTATCGTAAAATGATTGGTTCTCAAATATGCAGGAAATATTTAATAATCATTATCGAATAAAATGTATCATTAGAATGGGTTTATCAGGAAAAAATGAATGCATAATAAATTTAAATATTAAATACTTGAATATTTCAGTCATTTTCCTTCTTTTCAATAAATGATTTTTTTGGCTCAAAAAATAAGATTTAAATGATAGATTTATATTGAAATAATTCAAGATTGTAATGACAAGAAAATAGTTAATAGTAAATTTATACGATCATTTGTATATTGGAAAATTAGATCTTTTTTTTTAAAGAAAGAGGATTGTGATATTAGGTGTAATTTTAAACGATTTTATGATCAAATGAATTATAATAGCATTTAAAATATTTCCTAAAATATTGATATTCATAAAATTATAATTCTGTAAATATTTGCATAAAAGGCGAATGAACCTTTTAAATGTGAAACATCTTTTCCATTATGTTTACAGGAGATGCGCAAACAACTTCAGCATCACCAACATCAACACATAGCCCAGATCATCCAAACAACAACTCCAGTAATAGACGAAGCTTCAGCAATTCACAAAAGTAATTTCATCCTATGCTTATTCGAATTATTCAAATTAGTAAAAAGAGGAAAAAATGAAAAAGACTTGATTGGATAGAAATAAAAATATTATTGTTGAAATTAGTTAAATAATTTAAATTACTTTTCTTTATCATCTTAAGATGGCATTCTTGTTTTTTTTTGATGATTTGAAGATATTTTCAACTTTCTTTTCTTTTTTCTTTTTGGATTATATATTTATCGGAAGATTATTATTTATAGCAGTGATCGAGTAGTAAAGTGTACTTTATGCCATGAACGCCTTGAAGATACTCATTTTGTGCAATGCCCTTCAGTCTCAGGACATAAATTCTGCTTCCCATGTTCACGTGAAAGTATTAAAAAACAGGGAAGTGCTCAGGTTTGTATATTTATTTAACATCAAATCGGAAAAACAAGATAGGCCTACTAAAAGATGCATTATTGAAAGACCCAGATTTGTATATCGGATGAAAAAAATAGCCTAATAAACAGCGCATTGTTAAAAACTCAGATTTGTATATCCAATAAAAAAATAGATTTACTAAAAGACGCATTGTTGAAAGACCGAGATTTATGTATTTATCTCTTACTGAATGAAAAAAATAGACCCAGTAAGAAACTAGTTATTGAGAAAACTATACATGTTTTTGGCTATACATGTTCTTTTTTATTTCTTTCATTTTTGAAAATTTTGATTAATTTTTGTCATATATATTTTAGGAAGTGTATTGTCCGTCAGGTGAGAAATGCCCATTAGCTGGTTCACATATGCCATGGGCATTTATGCAGGGTGAAATTGCAACCATATTGGGCGATGATTTTGAACAATTTAAAAAGGAACGAGAAGCAAATAATTCCACTGCT